GGGGGGGGGGGGGGGGGGGGGGGAGAGGCAGGCGAAGGGGGGAAGGGAAGGATTTACACGCGCAGATTGTGAGAACTCTGGCAAGAGACGGACCGACAATGGCGACTGAGGGTGGAGAAACTGGTGAGGGGGAGGGGAAGGACTCTCACTATCTTACCTGCGCGACAACTGATAACGGCGAGAACGGAGAAAGCCAGCAAGCAGCCTGCCGGAGTATTGGGCTTGGGGAGCATGATCCGCTCTCTGCAAATTTTCGTATTTTTTATCATCTCCCGTTCGAAATGTTTCCAAAGAAAAGAGCAGATCAAACTGGTTTGTAACCCTATGTGCACCTTTGCAGCATGAAGATGCATGCGTTCATGTTCGGTCTACCTGGAGTATCGCACGCCTCTCGACTATCGAGGGTCGAGATTAGGCCACTTTCCTATCTGTTTGTCTCTTTCTTCCTGGAGTATTGCATGCCTCGCGACTATTGAGGATCGAGATTAGGCCGACTTTCCTATCTGTTTGTCTCTCTCCTTTTGTTGAGAAAAATATGCGTGCAGGGTTTGTTGTTGCAGGATTTGTAGGAATTGTGTGCTTTCCTTTATTGGAAAGATGTGAAACCTCCTCGCATGTGTGATAGGTAGGTACATCCATGATGCCACAGGATGGTGCGCTTTTCTCGGTAGTCTGCATGTCTGTGAATGTAGCTATGTACAGGGTCTGTTCTTTTTGCTGTTTCCAGTTAGCAAATTTGATTTTTTTTCTTCTTCCTGTGCTGTGATTTGCAACTCTGGCGGCATTGCATCGCAATCCGATGAGCAGCATTTGCCTTTGACACAACAATTGAAAGGGCAGGTTGTAAAAAAAAAAGGAAAAAAAAACCAAAAAAAAACGAAAGGGCACGTTGTGTGTGTGTGTGTGTGTGTGTGTGTGTGTGAAGATTCTGAAACTTTGGAAATTTGTCGGTTTGTTTTGCAAAACAGCAGCGGTCTCCGTATGGATCATTGTTACACGAGTTCAGCTTGTAGCCCTGTGCGTGGGTGATGGAGAATTAGGGTTCCATTCCAGACATTTTGAAAAAAAAAGGATGCACGCCCTTTTTTTTGCTTGTCTATATGTGTATGAAGGCTGACAACGACAATGGTTTGAAACGTAGAGGGGGTTGGGCAGCGCGATAGGGGGACGAGTTGGGGAGAGGAGGGGCGAGGAAGGGACGGGAGGAGAGAGAGAGAGAGGGTTATGTGCCAGCATCAAAGGGTATTGTTTGATCGTTAGGAAGTATAAGGGTAGGACAAGTCTCAGAGAAATGTCCGGAGTAGAGGGGCAAGGAAAAGGACAGGAAGAAGGAGAGGAGTAGGAGAGAGGGAGAGTTGGGTGGGGGGGGGAAGAGAGAGAGGGAGAGGGAGAGCTGGGGTGGAGAGAGAGAGAGAGAGAGAGAGAGAGGTGCCAGCATCAAAGGGTATTGTTTGATCGTCAGGAAGCATAACGGTAGGACAACTAACTCTCAGGGAAATGTTCGCAGTAGCTTGTCGAAGGGAGAGGAGAGGTTCATAAGGCAAGGCAGTGTAGTGGTGTGGAACTTGGGCACTTCAGAACGCTGACGAGTTAAGAATCTTCAGTTTTAATGAATCGCACTGCAGTGTTAGTCTCGACTATAGGATGTATGAGGAGTAGACGAGCGGAATGATCTGATGTTGTGATTTTGACGGTGTCCGCTTCCTTACATGAACGTAGCAGGACCGTGTCCGGGCACTGAGTGTCGACCGGACAAGAGGTGGTCAAGCACGGAGGCGAACGTGTGGGATGGGTGGCGGTGGGACAAGAAACTCTGCTGGTGGGCAATGAGGTGGCAGCAGCTCAAATCTTTTAGATTGTTTGGTTGAATCACCAGTTAGGGACAAAAAGGACCCTGTCTGGGTGCTGAGTGTCAAAGGGACAAGAGGCGGTCAAGCACGGAGGCGAACGTGTGGGATGCGTGTCGACGGGACGAGAAACTTTGCTGGTCGGCAATGAGGTGTGCAGCAGCTCAAATCTTTGTTCGGTCGAATAACCAGTTTGCAGCAATATTGTGTTCTCAAACACCTCACTTCTGTGAACGAGGGGCTCCTGGGAGAAAAAAAAAAGGAGGCATATGCACTGTTCGAACTAATTCCATTTTTCCTCTCGTCGAAGAGTTGTTCATAGTGACACGTCGAACGGCTGGCTTGCCAAGGGAGAGACTCTTGGCAGTGGAGCTCCGCATCTCCTGCTGAGGGCGGCGACGGGTGAGTTGCATTTGTTCAAGACCGTGGAAGCGTGTCCAGATTACTTTGGAGTTTACAACCAAGAAGACACTTCTTAAACTAGCCACTCCAATGCCTTCTGAAGCGGGCCAAAATATACGTTGCCCAGGCCTGGTAGAGGTTCGGTTGAGAAGGGTGCAGCAAAACTATTTTCCCTCGCGGCAGCACTGTAGATAGATTTTTCTGGAACAAAAAGGGCGATGGCGCTGAGATATTATCATCGAACTGACCGACCCTTTTGTAGGCATTTCAAAATTGTAGTATTTCACTCAGGGGTGTGCACTGTAGATTTCAGGATCGGGGTGAGACAAATTTTGGTTTGTTTGTAAAAAG